GAGGCTAAAGGCTAAGACGAAGGGGCGCCTATCAAACCATGGTAACAATGGTAATAGGAAAAAGGAAAAATGTAAAAATAAAAAAAAAAAAAAAATTTAAAACAGCTTCCGGTCGGAATCAAAAAATGGGAAAAATTATTGAAGGGCGCTAACTTGCGACCATGATCGAAAAGGATCTACCAAGTTTACAAAAAAATATTACTCGCAACTGGATTGAGTAACAGCGAGACACAACGGTAAGCTGCATATTTTTTATGAATTTTTTGTGAACTCGGTGAATCTTTTTCAATCAATAACACGATTTAGCGTCCTTCAATAATGTTTCCTCTTTTTTACCATGATATTTTTTAACCATCGAAGTGGTTGCCCCAACACAAATTTGGTCCCGAATTTAAATATATTTTAGGCTAACAAGATCAAATTTAAACAAAAGATCGCGTTCGATGAATGGTCCATCCAGGCCGCAAAAGAAAATTTTTTTCTGACCTAACAAATGAAATGCATGAATAGTCGCAAACCCAAAAGTGATCGCGAGTACTAAGTATTGAATTGAGTAATAGTATATAGTATAGTATAGTTCTCACTTGGGAAAGAAAAACAGATAAGTCTTCCCCACGTGCAAAATTGCTAAGCACGTGTGGAAGGCTTGTCTGTGTTTCCTCTCGATGGCTGAACGTGATTTTTCAACACGGTATAGGCAAAAAATTCGTTTAAAACAATTGATTGATAGTTTATAGACGAATCGTAACTTTATTTGTTCACAAGAATTCAAATTTTATATTAGTATTTGTTAAAATATGCCTGATGATGTATTTGGTCACCTCAACTACCTCAACACCTCAACACCTCAACTAATTTTTTTTGCATTTTAAATGAAAAAAACATTTATCAATTATTACTCAATAGTCATAAAGAATTAACATAATAGAATTAAGATAATTTCTATCGCAAAAATATTGAAAGAATGCTATTTTTTTCAGGTTGTTCTAATTTTTCCAAGTAAAGATGCGACAAGTGTCGAAAACCTATTTTTCCAATCCCAGCATATTACCGGGAATGTTACCTGCAAAATTCCAAGTTTGCCAATAACGAGAGCAGTATTTATCGATAGCACGTGGCATCAAACTAATTCAATTTACAAAGATAAGAGATTACACAGTTTACCATGTATAGTACTCAAATCCCGAATCTCCCAGTTCTGGCGACATCAGAAGAAGAGCCCGCGTTGGTATTTGGCAACTATCGAAGCAATTCACCAATTTTTAATGGAATTACATGAGTGTGCCTATGGCAAAATCGATAACTACGCTTTAAAAGAGACAGATCTCTCAACCAAAGAATATTGTGGACAGTATGACAATTTATTATATTTCTTCAAGTACATGTACGAAAAAATTCACACAATTTATGACCACAATCACTTATGGGCTTACAAGAGGCCTTTGATTTAATTTAATAATGAAAATAAAAAAGACCAATATTTAAATTCATTAATCATTAGCTGAATCATCTTCCATTTTTTATTTTTTATTCTCTTCTGCATATAACTCCAACGTACTTTAAACTCTACAATAAATTTTCGTGAAAATCCGTTTATACATCGTCATTTCTGCATTTCGTCATTTAATTTTCACGAAAAAACTAAATGTTCGCATCTCATTGTCACAAACATTGTATTTTCAATGTTTTTTAAATTAATTTATCATCAACAATGTGATGCAAACACGCTATTTTATTTCTTTATAATAACTAAACAGTATTTTTGTCGACCACGGGGAGATGGCCAGGCGCCCAGCACCCAGAAGAAGTGAGGCAGTCGTCCATTTAATTTTATACATAAAAAATGTCCCCATTCTTCCCTACCCATCGTGGTAGTAATAGGATTCACGTTATTTTTATTCTAGAACTTTTGTTCACAAGAAAATTCTTGAACAATCAATCAAAAATATACGCAACATCAAAAGACATCAACTATTTATGTTATACCAATGTCATGCAACACAATTAATATGATTTCAGTAGAACTACCCAACTGTATTGATAAATCCACTGTCTATATAAGTCTTCTTCATGCATTAAAAATAATTAGTAATCAACTATTGACAACCATCGAAGTAACACGGCCAAGGAAGAAATACACACCATTATGGGTAACAATAATGAGAAAAGATGTTTCTAATTGATTTTCGTTATTCAACTTGATTGAACCATTAGTTCTAAAATAACTCATATAATTTCTCGCATTTCTCATCTTCATTCTATCGAGCACAGAAAAGATCTTGAGACATTAAGATGCGCTTACAAATTATCGTACATGCACGTATTTCCCTCCTTAGCTGAAACATTTTAAGAGGAAAACATCACACTACATACTCATATGGATTGCAGCCAAGACTTGCCTTTTAATTTCCTGTTTTGTCTACAGAAATTATTACTTATGCTTTTATTAATATATTTTAAGGAAGGAGGAACATAAAAAATTACAATCCATCGAACAGTTATTCCTGCTAGTCATGAAATGTGCTCTTTTCCTCACCTAAAATAAAATATAACTATTATTCGGTAAAAAAAAATCCATAGATTTTTGCAATCCTTTTGTCTCTGAGAATGTTTAGAATATAATATGTAAAGCACACCTATGCCTTATTAGTTGTTAGCAGTGCGCATTTGGATGTTCGTGGTACGGATTTGCGACAATTTAATAATTCTGACCAATGGTTAATAGGCCTCTGTGTTTGTTCTTACGTCGAGCCGTAATGCTTTGCATAATTACAATACTGTGTTTACATTTACTACAGTGAAACCGCGCTCAGTTATTTATATTTCTTTTCCTTTTTAATAGCCTATAACTCGCCCATGCGGAATGAATATACATTCATGTTACTTTATATTATCAGATACTCTTGCCGTATTGTTTATTTTTCCTAATAGAAAAATATGGATACGCTTTTTGGCACAGCTACGTTAAGAATGCAACTTCAATGTTTAAAGAAAGATAAATCGATATAAAGTTTTCTCTGCAATAATAAGTAGATAAATTGTATCATTTCATTCTTTCAACAAATTCAGAATGTTAATTATTAATATGTTAATATAGCATGAATTTAGATTGTTGGAATGGTGTAACCAAGGAGGACAACAAAAAGTATCATGATACCTTTTAATGGTACAAAGAAGGAGAAATACTGTAAAAATTAAACTTTGGTCCGATCCGACTATTTTCAATCCGTAATCCATCATTTCATCAAACTCAGGAATTAAGGCTTCAACCGATAGTTAAATGAAAATTTGTTAAACGTTTTTATTTTAGTTAACAGTTGAAAGTTGCATTACATTGTAAAACTTATCTAGAATTTTTTTCATGGTTTTTCTATTTTAAATTGCTATTCAATTTTTCAGAAACCCCAATAAACAGAGAGTAACACATGATCTACTATGACAGATGATTACTATGAAAATTAGAGAAGGATGAACTTGAAATTTTGAGACAATTACATATAAGTAACTGATGCAAAAAGGCTTTTCCAACATTAAAAAAATATTTCTGTGATTTTCTATATTGAAGTTTCGGAGTAGAAGAATGTCGTGAGTTTATGGCAAGCAGAGGAGTCCATCAACGGTCAATTATAACAATAGCACGTGGTGCTACCAGTCCATAATACTTCTATCGTTGGATCACATGAACCATTATCGTTAATAAGTCCAACAATTCTAAACTATTTGATTGGAGCGAGGTTAGAGTCGCGGTTTTCTCGAGTCTATTGATTGATATCAATTTAAGCATAGCTAACGATAATTATCGCATCGATAAATTTCAGATAAAAATGACGATTGATTAGGACAAATTCTTATAATTTTACGTCACGACTAATCATAATTTCATGACAGTGACAGTGTAATAAAAAAAACAGCAACAAAATTTTGATATTTTTGCCGGATCGGTCGTTCAGGAAGTGTTATCAGAAAAATTAACGATTTCATGCCCCTCATTCTCATGATAACCATTGACACGAAGTAACTCTTCATAGTAAATCATGCACGTTCTAATCTTGTTTTAGGAGAATTAGAAAGCTTCATGTTAAAAAAGTTGCGAAGAAAATTTTGTTCCATCAATTTTCAACCAAAACAAAAACGAAAATTATTCATTTTTGTAGGAGGAGGATAAAATTAGTTAAGGGAGATCTGAAATCTTCCAGAAACCTACGATGTAAATGACCTCTCCATTTCACTTTTTCTTTCCCTACCGAGGTATATTAAACTCCAACAAGACAAAAACACGTCGTCAAAACCTTCTAATTTTTTTTGGTTTTCTTTTTTATGAAAATATTCATATTATGGGGCTCTCTGCAGTATACTGTAAAACCAAACAACAAAAGTTACATAAAAAATTGATGAAAAGCTATGGAGATACCGTTCGTAAAATGATTACACTCGATTTTGAATAAATTAACTGTCGACGTCATCGTCAATATCATCAATGCGAACAGATAAAGAAGCCAAGTACTTCGAAATGAATTACTTTGGCATAACATTAATCGCATAATCTATTTTTGTATTGGGAGGATATGGAGCTATTATTTCACAATTTAAGCAACAGTGCAATACTACGATTAAGGCGCAGATAGACTATCTATCGAACTTCATTTTTTGTTTAAATTGTATCTTTTTAGCCTGAAATTTATTACAATTTGGGATCAATTTGTGTTGCAGGAAGCACTTGAAGGGTCATTAAAAAATCATTTAAAAAATTAAAAAATCGAGAAATCGAACGATTGCAATGCTTCCATTCGGAAGCAAAAAGAGGAAAAATTATTGAAGGGTACTAAAGAATGATATTGTTTAAAAGGGATCTACCAAGTTAACTAAAAAATAATAAAAAATACGTATCTTAAATAGCCTGAAGGGCAATAATAAGCTGCGTATCTTTCATTATTTTTTTGTACACTTGGTAGATCCCTTTGAATCATTACCGCGATTTAGCGCCCTTCAATAATTTTTCCCCTTTTTTTATTTTTTTATAACCATTCGAGTGATTTCCGCAACACAAATTTGATTCTAAATTTTAATGTATTTTAGGCTAAAAAGATAAAATGTAAACAAAAGATGACGATCGATAGATAGTTCACCCGGGCCTTAATTGGAATAATTTCTCGACATATCACTAGTAACGGAAACGTATAATTTAGATGAAAAATTTTATGCCATAAAGCTTATTTGATCTTCAACCTTTCTGTTTCGTAAACATAAATTGATATGTCAACAGTTAAATAGTGTGTAAATTACGAGAATTTGACGTTATTCCTTCAGTCACCAATGACAACACCAATTCACTCCATATCCTTAATAAAACCACAGGCGTCTCCCTCGGGCTTAAGAAACTCAATTAAAACGAATAAAAAAAATATATATATTTTTTGTCTTCCATGTACTTTCTGAATAAGAAAATACTTCTGTACTCTGCGGCGACTTTAAACAAAATTTTCCACTCTTGTAATTTTTAAAATGATTTCTTGCACAGATGCCCGCTAAAAATAAATAAATTTTTCTTCCTAATATACGATCAGAAAATACTATTTTAGTGGATTATTTCAAGATAAGTTTTTGTAATAACTGGAATGGCCGATTCAGCATAGAATGTCGCTTACTTAAACGAATTTCTAAGTGAAAATCATCGACCACGCATGGCTCATTTCTTTATTTATTTTTAATAAAAAAAAATTAATTGATCGCAGATCTTTTTCTATCTTCCACAAGGTAGATATAATAGCGATTTAAGGTATTGTGGTATTTAGAAGATCCCTGTGTTCGAGTGAATCACGAAGTGCTGTGAATAATTGTAGCTGCTGTTCAGGTTTTAAACTATAAACTGCTTGCAGTAATTTTTGGGGCGATGCTGTGTGAATGAAGGAAGAAATGTACACGTTAACAAATGTTGCCATCAGGTACTGACAATCGAATCTATCCATTATGCCACCGTGACCAGGGATGACATCTCCAAAATCCTAAAATCATTGGTACATTTTCATAACTGCCCCCAAGTAGTCATCATAGAAAGGGGGGTGTAATCACCACGAAAAATGGGACAGACTCACATGAACAAATGTAGACATGAACAGAAATACTTTTTTGTCACTGTTAGCCCTTTGTTTTTTCCCACGTCCCTGGAAATTCTTAGTCTATTCCACATATCGTCAGGCAAAAAAAATTCGAGTATTAACAGAATATTTTTATATTGGTGATAATGAGACAGAAAATCCGTCATAATTAATTTTCTTTGCAGCTTGTCACCGTCCCACTTCTATATTCATAAGAAAACTTTCGATTTTTAACCCTATTTTAGAGTTTAAACGCTATCAATTATCACAAAATATCTCCGCCGATATCTAACTGCCACATCGAAAATCGATGCCTGCAAAAATCCAAAAGAAAATAACGAATTCCTTCTACTCTAACTCGTTTTCTGCGAGTATGAAATTTTTCAGAATTTCCAGAGAGACATTGAAAGAAAACAGGTGGCTGGAGAAAGAATGCCCCACACCAAGGTTGTGACCAGAAATTTGGTTCGTCACGCCTGGCCAAAGAAAAATTTTCTCCTTCATAATGATTCATTGTAACTTGCGCCGCAAGCTTATATTAAAAGAAAAAATTTATTTGGCCTAGTAACGATCCATAGTATTTCTGTAAAGGTATCTACAGTATCTACGAAGGGGGCATTAGCATTGTGTAAGAGTAAGATAAGTATGTTTACTTTAATTTTAAATGCGCGTTTGAATCCACTAGCGAAGAATCCTCCAAATGGTCCAATCACTGAACTGAATACCGACATTGACAGAGAGTGAAGTAAGAATGGATACACCGTGATTGTTTGTTTGCCGAACTGAAAGAAATCATAGCATAAAATATTCGATTGCACTCCTAGCACGCTATAACAAAAGCTCCATACCACTTTAGTTATAATGTGTAAACAATTAGGAATAGGATATTCCTGTGGTCGATAAAGACTAGAAGGTTCGCAATCCATCGTCATTCTCCCCAAACTCTCACTGTATTCAATTGGGCAGACAAAGTAACGATATTGACAGAGACCATACGACATCTGAAATCAAATTTACCATTAAAAAAATCATTTTTCTAGAAACAATCGCTTATATAACCGATCATATTACCAATAGTCCAAGTACAACCGTTGAGAAACCACCCCCAATGAATCCTTCCCAAGTTTTTTTCGGTGATAATTTTATCAGAGGCGTTCGCCCAAAGAAAAAACCAAAGACGTACGCCATAACGTCATTGATGACAATCATGCTTACGGGCACAATGAACCTGAAATTGATTGAGTTGAGCGATTTGTCAAATTAATGCAAAAAATTTCGCCATACCATATTAGTCCTTCAAATATATTTTGTATGATTAAATAACTTTGTGTGACAACAATCAAAAGTGCCACATGGGTCCACGCGAAGAGAGAGAACTGCTTCATGTAATACTTTTTCACCAGCGATAGAACAAACCAAACGAATCCCACGATGTACAAGCAAAATGATATAAATCGATGATAAGTAACTAACACTCTCAACAAATCCTGTAAAAAAAAAGAACTTTTAAATAAAAATCTTACTAATATTTTGCAATAAATTATGTAATTCCGACAGAGGCCATTATAAAGTTCAGCAGGTTAGATAGGCTTTTATTGATTTTATGTCAGATGCCTTCAATAATAAGCTGAGTGTAACTCAGATCAGTTCATGCCAATTGGATTATAGATCTATCATTGTTCCTACATAATAGTACTCTATCCCTTCTATTTTCTATGAGCTATCAATTGAAAAAAGTAGAAAAAAATAGGACACACATGATTTAAATGTAGTGAATGCTCCATTAATTAAAGATGATTCTTAAAATATCTTTCAAACTAAAGAAAGTTAATCATGAATGCATTATGCTTCCGATATCCTTCCGTTGTCACTCACCGTTCTATTGATGACTACAGCAAAATAGTCCATCAGATTCTCTCCATAGAAAAAATAATTGGATGTTATGAGGAAATACCAGGATAGTGATCTGAACCACGGTAATCCGTGGATTCTGTACACTGCATATCCAATGTTTATAATCTCCTCAAAACACTTTACTTGTACTAGTAAAGTCTGAAACAAAAGATGGAATGTTGAAGAATCCCAAAAAAATTCTTCTGTCTTGTATTCAATGAATACTGACTGTAACCATCAGTGCTAAAGGTCCTCCATAAATAATAAGACCAAATCCGCCAATCATGAGCCATGTGAAAATACCTCGGACAACCCAGTTTTTCCAGCTGCAGTAAATTCATACGTCAACATCGCATCAGATTCATCAATTATTTCTATTAGTATGTCGATTTGTCGTAATAAAATTATAAATACCGATCGGGTAAGCCAGAAAGTATGTGTCCAAGAATATTCGGGGTATGATCGGTGCCTTGTGGAAGAGCCTTAACCAACTCATCGACTTCGAGCTTTCCATCATCTTCGGATTCAATGTCTTCTCTCTGTAACAACGAGAAATCATTCACGAGAATGTTTATGAAAATAGAATCCCTCAATAAATTGACCGGATGAAAAATAGATCAGTATTAATTTTCCTATGGTCTATCAGGTTTAGTGGGTTTTAACAGGTTTTGAATTTGTGGGCTATATTTTCTCCTGACCTATTTCTTCTGCCTGCAGTGAAATTAAATTAAATGAGATGCAAATCAGTATTGACGATTATGTATTGACACAATAAAACAAACAAAATATTCAGAAATTTGTTAATCCTTCGGAATAGGATCAAGTCAATTTGACGGAATGAAAATGAATAGTTTGAAATAATAATAAACTAAAAGCGGATAAATGTTTCTATAAAAAAAATATCGATTTCCCATCAGTGAATATTGTACACCATTATCATCACCAGTGATAAATCAGTCCAATGATGTCAGAAAGATGATTCCATGTCTACGAGAATTAATGATACAGTTTCTTTGACAATTCTAACTACTGTAATCTAAAAACAATAATTTTTAATTATATACAAACGAAAAATAGTTCGATAATAATATCTACCTGATCTTCGCTAGTGTCACCACTAACTCCTAACGTTTCACCTACATTTCTCTTTCGTAATTCTGACATTTTATTTTATTGCTGATTATATTATTTGACTTGATGTTACTCTACGCAATAATTTTCTTGTCAGTATACGATTAGTGGAAATAACGGTGCCGTATCCCTTCACTGTATATTTTACATCTTTAAATGATGAACCCAGTGGGGCGGACGTGACAGACAGTTCCTTAAAGTTTCTCGCGCAAGTCAAAATCGGAGGTTAGCGCAATAAAGAGACAATAGTCGGAACTCGTCGGAGCTATTCGGATGATTTCGGTGCGGATTGAAAAATCGATTCTCCTTAGGAATATTCCACATGTAACGTGTGGGAGATGAACACAATCATTATACATCGCAAAATAATCAAAAATTTAAAGACCCACTCTTTTCGACGATCGCAAGTTTGCCCTCAAGTCTAGACTCTAGAGGGATTCATTCTCAAATTTCTTGAGACATTATAAATTGCCATTAACGTTGCCATTAACGACGCGTTAACGCAAAATTATTTGCAAACCCCACACATTCATTGTAGAGCCTCCTTTATATCCAATAGAGCAACTTAATAGAAAAAATAATCATTCCTGGAGATGAGGATGAGATTACAATTATGCTAGTACGCATGTCACTCGTTGTCACTGATATTGCATAAAAGTCCACTTTGTGCTGAACTCAGCCGCCTTTTTTTCTTATTTAAAAATATCTTTACAACATCCGCAATCAAATTATGTTTATCATTGTTGTTTAATATTATGACCTTAGAAAATCATCAATTCAAATGAATTGAACTATAAATCAGAATAATATTTTCTGTGGTCTTTTAACCGAATTTCATCACAATACATGGAGAGAAATTTTCAAGGAAATTTTATAACTAGTCCTATAAATTATTCATCGGCCTCGCTTTTTCCTAGTGTCGTATTAAATTTTTTTTAGAAAATTGCTATGGCGTTAAGCGGCTAATATGGTGAAACTAAAAAGATACGTATTATTATATACATGGAACACGTTTGATCAACTTTGGGACAAAAAAAAAAAATTTCTAACTGAGGAAGCTAAATTAAAAATGTATCCCTGCCAGGTAAATAAGTTTACCTGGTAGAAATACATTAAGGACCGGTTGGATTATCTGGAAAAGATAATTTACTCCAAAATTGGGATTCCTAATTACTCTGGCAATTAATCGTTTTTTTCAATAATTGTTAGCTAGCGTTCTAGCGGTTGTCAACGACTATCGGCTAACAATTATCGGAAAAAACAATTAATTGGCGGAGAAATTAGGAATCCCAATTTTGGAGTAAATTATCTTTCGGAGATACTCCATCCGGCCCTTAATTTAATAGTAATTTCTTTTTCCGTGGATTTTACTTTATAGTTGGAGTTTTTCCCGTGCATTCATAAAAATCAAATTTCAGCAAATGCGTTAGATAAAAAATCATTCGTTGTTACAAAAACATTGTGCTCCATATGGTGGAATCATCCATGTTCCTTGAGATATTTCTTTATGGAATTGTGTATAAATTTTGTTTATTCGGCACAAAGAACTTTCCTGCGTGGTAAAATTTCCCAGCGAGGAAATAGTATATTATGCATCAAGGGCGGAAAGTCAGTGTTTTCCCGCCCAAGGCGCACACGCTATTTTTCAACATTCCTGCAAACGAAACTCCGTGTTTTGCTGTCTGGAAAGCGGTAGGAAAGTGCATACTTTCCACTCTAGGGTGAGTAGATGACTTTCCGCCCTTGGGAGCAACTTTCCATCCGCTTATCAGAGAGCAAAAAGCAAACTTTCCGTGCAGGTGTGTTAAAAAATTCATTCTTCCTCCCGTACTTTCGGTAAATAAATGTGAAAGTGTAGGGCGTCCGGTAACTAGGTACATTAACCGCCATTGTCTTGGCAGATCATCATTATTTTCATTCATATGAGAGAAATTAGAGGTAAAAATTCATTTAACTATGTATGATTAACTCGGAAAATTCTTTATGATTCGACTTTTTAGCTGCAATAGTATCAACGACATATTACAATTTAACTCCATTATGGATTAACCGGCGCCTTCAGTCAAAGAAATGAATAAAATCTAACAATGACTTACACTTGACGATTACTTGAATACTTTGACATGTCTTTTCAAACTTGTTCTTGCAAACATCGGCGATCAGCAATTTCGCTATCAGCAATTTCGCTATCAGCAATCAGGCGATCAGCAATTTCGCTAGGCACATTAAATAATATTGGTATCTCGCACGTTCATTGACGCCGGATCTTCAGATCTACAAAGGTTATTGAGTTCAGTAACATCAGTGTTTGTGTTGACCACCTATTTTTTTCTAGAGAAAGACATACATTTGTGTTCATTATGGAGGTGAATTTAGATAAATTTATTTTGAAAATAATATTCTAAATACGCTCGTATATTCTATTAGTTTTCTTGTGAATATGAGTTCGCCACATGAGTCAAAGGTAAGTGTGGAATTAGATAATTGTAAAGTTATGACAACCCTCATTATTCTAGAACTAACTGAACTCACTGGCTATCCAATAAGAATTGTAAACAAGTAGCTATAACCTATTAAAAACCCCTACAATTATTACATGAAGTCTAACGAAATTGAATAAAAAACAAGTGTAAATAATTCAGTGATGAAGTTGAAAAAAATATATCGAAGGCTTAAAATTTAAATATTTCAATGTCCCAATTTAAAATTAAGTGAAAAACATTACGTCATTGGAGAAATAAACTTACATTAGGGGAAACCGGCCGAATCCACCAGAGAAACTATTGAAAGGGTGGCTCCCACGAGCGCCACTTTTCCCCCATCAAATGCAGGAAACATGACAAAATGAAAAAAATCATATATGTGGAAAGAACAAAAAAAGGAATAAGAACCGCCCAAATATTTGATTGTAATATTGTCAACACCTAGTTACTGTCATAATGTTTGTTATGAGAAAACAATTGTTTTATATCTAACATATAAGTATGGGGGGCTGCGTCTGCAATCACTTAAATTATAACATCATTTGCAGCAATTAGCATATAGTTTGTCAATGTGAATTCAAAAATTTCTGACGGCAATAGCCTAGAAAATTTCAAAGCTGTGATCCTTATCTTTTTAATAAACAGACATTTAAGTTTGTTCTTCAGAATAATTATATCATTGGCAAATTATGGATGGACAATTCTGTACAGAGGAAGAAAATGATCTAATTCATAAAAGAGTAATTAATTTGTGATGAAAAGTAATTATTTTATCAATTTATTCCGATGTATTAGGACTGCTTCACAAACTACGCATAATTATTCTACCGCGATTGAATTGCACACTTGTTATAATTAAATCGTTACGTTTGCTAATCGTCAGATATAATGTGCAATAAATCTACTGCATTAGGATCAATAGACGTATACGTCGTTTCAAATTTATAAAAATCTGACTAACAAGTAAGTGATAATGTTGAAAGATTAGATCGCATGACAACTGAGTCCAAATCAAAGAAATACACAGAGTCAAGCGCGTATGTTGTTTGGGAAAAAAAATTCATGCATGCAGACTAAAATCAAAAAAGCATTCGTTACAAAACTTGTAGTTAAAAAACGTGAAAGTATGTAATAATTACTAGACCCGCGATTGAGGCAAATGCAGTTGTGTTATGGACATTTGGTAATTGGACCGCTATGTGAAAAAATAATTGTGTGTCCGTCTTGTAGTTAATTAAGGACAAAGTTCGATTTTTCCAACAAAACTGTTTTACCATTGAATTTTTTATCATCTGAGTTATTAACTACCAACAGTCGATTTATGATCAGCTGTTTCCAAATCTTTACTTTAATTGTTACTCACAGAGCTGAGGTAGTCAATAGTTACTATTACCTATTTTTGAAGTGGATATGTCTGTTTTCGATCTGAGCAAGTTAATAAATCTTTCACTTTTCTCATCCATAAAAATCACACTCGATGTCATAATAAACAGATAAAAATTAATAATTTAATCTCAGTGCAGGTCTTTGTTAAAGACAGAAACCACTCCCATAGTCGAACCAAAAGGATGAGACCTGCACAGCACGAATCCCGGAAAAAATATCCCAGGGAAAAAATATCCCACATATTCAAAACGTGTTAAAACTCGCTTAATTTAATTATTTTTTAATTTAATTATTTTTTTCGTTGTCTATTTTTTCAGGGACTTTAATTTTCTTATGGTCTATCAAATTGGGTGGGTTTTAACACGTTTTGGGTGCATGGGCTATTTTTTCCGGGGATATTTTTTCCGCCTACCGCACAGCACACATGCTATTAGTTTTTGTTCTTGTATAAAAAGAAGGGAAAATCGAGTACAGAAAAATATAATAGTGGAGAAAGAAAATGAATTGCAAAAAGGAGTCATTCATACAAGAAAATAATTTCACACAGTCAATTAACTGAACATAATCAACATTTAAATTCTCTCTCCGTCCTTCCACTCAAGTTCACTTCGAAATCCATCTTACAGAGTATCTTACAGAGTAATAATCATCACTTAATATTAAAAAGTCATCTGCATAATAGCAAAATAAAGGAAAAAAAATATCATAATGGTTGTCCCGCTGGTCAGTGCTCCAATAATCCTCCAACAATGTAGCCAAATGACGGCGTTTGAATCCTCCTTTTTATTAGTTGCATGTGCGAAAATGGCGTTTCATAATCTACAACAAAAAACAAATGAATCGTCCATTAAAAAAAATACTTCTTCACTCCTCTTCTCTTATTATTTCTTAATGAATGAAACTTACTCGTTCCTCTTTTCGTTACTTCCGTATGCACAAGTTCCCTAATTGACGAATTGTTTCCTGACCTCCTCCAACTCTTTTTTGGACAGTGACCTCTCCCCCTTGACAATCTTTGTCTCCTCCACGTGATCGTGATTGCTGATGCGTTAGTCTCTCTTATCAATGCGGAATTAACGCAACTGTGCCCCTCTGAGCTTTCATTGCACTCGGTCTTGGTGTTGGTGTTATCGAGCCTCTTCTTTATCCCCTTAATATTATTACTAGTGAGTGGGATCGAGTGGTCCTCCACAAGCTCTTCATTCTCCATGGGAGTGAGTCCATTGATTGCTTTATCAGGGATCGTGGGTGGCCTTGGTCTTCCTGGGTGCATCGAAGACATTATTCCATGAGCTTACTCTTATTTTGAAACTGTGGAAAAAAGCTCCAGAATTATCGGTTTTCAATAATTAAAAATTGAATGAAAATTAAGAAATTTATAAAGTTAGTAAAATATAATGAATAGGAGAAACAGCAAGCAACCAATACATTAATCTTACCAGTTTGATAAACCCGAAATTGGTAAAATCAACGTGGAGGAAGGAGAAAGAAACAAGCAGTTTGCCGTTCCTAGCCGTAGAAGACATATGATTGTTACTTCACATGTTATTTATTTATTTTTTCTATTTTATTTTGCCATCAATTTCATTGATGGTTGGCTTCCGAATGGAGTACCTGTAATCTCTCAAATTTTCATATTTTTGGAATTAAGCCTATCTTCAATATGAAACATTATGGTCATAACAGAAAAATTTTTGCCAAATTTCAAGCTGATGGTTCGATTTTCAGAATCAGAGAACGCTTAACAAAAATTTTTCCGAAAAACATGAAACAAACCTTTCAACATAATATTTTCATTAAATTATTTCAACATCATCATGTAGGCATCATTATCTTTTGTTAACATTTTAATTTTTATAATAATTATTGACTTTTGTCCATACATTAATTTTTTTATGGTAGTTTCTATGGTAGGATTTCAAATAAGCGGACTTACTCGATCACCTGCACATTGCACATACACATTTTTTTTACAGAATTGGATAATCTAACATTGGAAAATGTTAACGCTTCTGTTCAGGAAAAGATCATCGCAATATTTGACTCTCCTCTTGAATGAACCATTGAATCTCCTGAATAAACCATTTAATCCTGCCTATCTTCAATCCTGAATCTACTGAATCTGCTGAATGAACCATTTAATCTAGCCTATCTTCGAAACGAAACATTATGGTCATAACAGAAAAATTTCTACCAAATTTCAAGTTGATAGATTGATTTTTAAAAATCAGAGAGGTTGTACGTCGCATTTTTTGTAAAACATGAAAATTGAAATATCTTGAGATTTTTCTTCGAACGCGTGAAACTCTTCGGTTCATATAATTAGGGCATAATGTACCGAATATTTTGCAAAAAAGAAAAATAAAATCAATTTTGTCGTTTTTGAGATATTTGAGAAAATCGTTTCAGATACAAAGTTGAATATCTCGTGAACGAATCATCCGATTTAGCCCATCTGCAATACCAACCATCGCAGTCATAAGAGGAATCTTTCTGTGAAATTTCAAGTTGATAGATTGATTTTTAAAAATGAGAGAGGGTGTAGTTCGCATTTTTTTGAAAAAAATGAAAATTGAAATATCTCGAAAACTTTGTAGGAACATATACATATATTTTGACTGATCCATATAGAGCACATTGAGACGAACATTTCAAAAGAATGAGAAATGTAAACGGTTGGATAGTTTCTGAGATATTTCCAAAAAAACTTCTCAGAAACAATCATACATATTTCAAGAACTACTCAACCGATCGGGCTGAAATTCAGCACAGATGAAGTCCATATTAGAACCTATGAACTGACCAAATTTCAGATTTTTGGGAATTAATTTACCCAATTATACTCCTTCTTTTGTAAAAATTAACTCTCAGCTGACCATAATCACATATACACACGGTCTACAAACGCGGTATTTTTACGTTTCAGATCATTCTACATCATTTCCAGGCAAAATAGGAGAATCGAAAAATCGAACGATTGCAATACTTCCGTTCGGAAGCAAAAATAATATAGACTTGATAACAATGACTATAGAACACTGATTCCATGATCCAATAATGTTTTCAACTTATTTGGACAGTTTGGAAAGCTAAGCATTGTGCACCACAAATTCCACAAAGAATTGATGCTTGGCTCCTGAATGCTTCCAAAGTTAAAATTTGCGTTCAATTATGCATAAGCACCAGTGGTAACATGGTAAGCACACAACATTCAAAACTGAATGGGAACATTGACAACACAATGATTGGTTGACATTCCCCACTGAAAAAGGAGGAAAGCGATCTAAATGATTTTCACGAAACGATGAACCTGAATATTTTAGAGGGATAATACAATAAAATAATTAAATGATACCAAGTATGGCCTAAAAATAAAGAAGAATAAGTAATTACTAATTCTCTCGTGATGTGGAACAATGCAATAGGTTAATCTATCTCTTTAGCGGTTTTTGTTGCTTCCGAATGGAAGCATTGCAATCGTCCGATCCCGACCGGAAAAAAAAAATTCGAATTTGGCTTGGAAACGATGTAGAATGGTCTGAAATGTAAAAATACAAAAGTTTTTAAGAATGTCTGTGGTGCCCTGGCCAGGGGTGATTTTTTAGTTAAGAAAAGATAAAGGTGGGTAAAAAAATTCCAAAAAATTTGAAATTTTGTCAAATAGTAGGTAAGAGTTGAGGCTAACTATGGAATGAAAATTCTGCTAGATCGGTCAAGCCGTTTTTGAGAAATCGTGATCTGTTTATAAATCGTTT